TTATGTATGGTACTTTATTTAATTCTCAACAGCCCTGGTGAGTTACACCCCCCATTTTCCAGTCAGCAATTTATGTAAAGCCACGTAGCTGTGGATAGCGAGGGTCCAGATGTGTAATTAGGCAACCCCAGGGCACAGTGTTCTATTGTTGTCTTCTGTGCATTCTTGTTATTGTACAAGTGAGGGAACGTAACTTCAGATGAGTTCAGGTCATACATGAAGGTTATCATACACAGTTATTTAATGTAGAGGTAGGATTACAGGGTAGGTCTAAAGATTCCAAAGCTTCATCCTTTATACTGAATTGCATTTTTTAATTTTTAGAAAGTAAACTAAAATTAATTTTTACGTGGAAACATGACATTTTTTAATGCAGAACTTAAAAAAATTCCAAAAACAAAAAAAAAGAAGAGAAAGAAAACCACTTTAAATCAATGGATATCTTCAGGTTCTAAATAAGCATAGAGACAAACAGACTGACAAGATAGGAAGGAGACACAGTCCGAACTCTCCACTGCGGGGTATGTTGGGTACAGTTTAGCAGGTTCTTAGGATTCTCTGCTTAGTAATATTGTTTGCTGTAATTATTGAAATGTGGAGATGTTTTGTAAGATTACATTCCTGTTATGATGAGTTGTAGTGAAAACAATTTGGGTAATTTGCAGCTCCATGGTCTCAGATATTAGAACTATAGTCTCATTAATTAAGAATGTTGTATAAGTTGCTGTGATTTAGCTGCTACCTCCCTACCATTCAGCGGGACTATGTGAGTTGTGTTCCAGAAATTATCACTAATTCTTGCCATCACTCAGACTGACATGATCCCCATTTTTGGAACAGCAAACTAATGTTTAAAGAAGGGAAACGACTTGCCCAAGAACACATAGCAATTAAGTAATGGAAGACAGATTCGCCCTCTGAAAGGCCACACTCTTTCCATTATCCTATGTGGACCTTACAGTATGTACACAAAATTATCAAATTTATTCATTTAATATTAATTCATCTCATCTTCTTCTGTAAAATGTTCAATAATATTACTTACCCTTGAAGTTTTTGTGAGAGTTAAAAGACATGAATCACATAATGCACACAAAGCGCTTATCTTAATAAATATTAGTTTTTGCTATGCATCTTTTTTGGCCATGTGCCAGGGACTAGACCAGGTAGTAGATAAACAGGTAAATAGGATGCTCTGTTTTTCCTCCAGGGGCTTATAATTAACCATAGAAGAGGTGTGGTAGAGTAATTTTTATAAATAATTGCAATATATTGTAATAAATTCAGCAGTAGGTATAGATCCACAGGGCCATTCTCTCTGTGTGGTCGAGAAAACCCTGACCCCCTTCAAGGTGGTAAGCCTCTCTTAAAGGTAGTATTGTAAAAAGGACTTCAATCCATTTCACGTAAAAGAATTGTTTTAGTTCTTTCCTAAAGGGTAGGTTAAACAAAATCTGCTCTGCAAATAAAGTATAAATGCTGGTGAACAAGAACTTGGATGGTAATGTTGCACCTGGATTGGGAAATAGAGCAGAGCCTGCGGTATCCCTGGTGCTCCACGGTGGGCAGGAAGGGGTGGAGAAGGAAAGTCACCACTCACAGAGGAAATAAAAATGTTCCACACCCACTGGAAAGCCTTTCTTTGGCAATAATAGGAATCCTCAGCTTGTGTTGTTGCTGCCTATCCCAAGCTAGCCTGCTGGTATACCCCACCCAGTTCTCACACAGAGCAGTGGGAAGCCTTCCCTTTTAGGGGAGATGCCTCATAAGGAAGTGCTCTCTCATGAGGACAAGACGCACAGCCACTTATATTAACTTTTCTAGTCTTTCATTTACTTGAACCCATAATAGAAGATTAGAAGAATTTTGAGGAAGAGCAAGTGTCTGAAAGAGAAAGATCAAGATATGCAAAGCAAACAACAGAACCCAAGAGACTATAGATTATGTCAGAAATGAAAGAGGTTAAAAATAAAACTTATGTTGGTGTCTTCAGAGAGATGCAAGAGGTGATCGCATCTGTAGAACAAGAATAGGCCACCATAAAAATGAGAAACTAGGGGATAAGAGACAGTTTTTAGAAACTAAAAACATTATTTTTTAAAAAAAAATGTGGAAAAGATAGAATTAATATAGCTGGAAATTAAATTAGTGATCTGGAAATAAAGTCAAGGAATTCTCCTAGGACATAGATCAAAAAGACAGAGATAAATTAATGGATTAGAGAGAGGATAGAGCCAAAGAATAGAATGTTTTAGGAATTTCAAAAGAGAAAAGACAGAATGTTTTGAAGATATGTGCATGTAATGGTATGTACAATTAAATTCAAATAAATAGGGATTTCAGAAGGGAGTTGAAGGAAATAATGGAAGAGAAAGAAATAATGAAAGAAATAACTGAATACAATTTTCCCAAGCTGAAAGAAGACCTAATTCTTAACAACAAAAGTACTCAAGAAATACTTAGTTAGAAAAAGCAAAAAAAAAAAAAAAAAAATGCTTAGACTTATATTGGTGAAATTTCATAATTCCAAGATTAAAAAGAAAATCTTAAACATTTTCAGAGAGGAAACAAGAAAACAGATTATGTACAAAAAGATGAAAATAATTGTATTACCAAACTTTTGAAATGTTGGTTACTCAAAGACAGTGGAATAATGGCCTAAGATTTTTAAAATATATTGAACCTGTAAAAGTCCAAACCACTACTCAAGTTTGAAACAAAATAAAGACAATTTCAGACCGACTAGAATTCAGACAGTTATGTCTATTCACCTTTCCTAAAAATGAAAAAATACTATAGGATTCATTTTAGTAAAATAAAAAAGCAATCCAACAAAGAGGGCGATCTGGCATATGCAAAGCAACAGTAAGAGAATAAGTTGGTAAACAGCATAGCTTAGTGTGATGACTTGAAATCTGTGTCTACGAAACTTAATCATTAAAACAAAAAAATTTCTCCTCCAAAATTCAAAGTGTAACAGCAACAACAAAAAAAACCCTGGTAATCATCTGGAACCAGTAAAAAGTGCAGATTATTTCACTCAGACATTGCAGAGGTGGGAAGGGAATCTTTGGGAACAGTAAATTATAGATCCTGATTAATTTTCAACATGGTTAAAAAACTCATTTATTTGTATGTGTATGTTTTAAATACAAGGGTGCCCATTAGGAGATTAAACTTAGTGTATGTAATGGTCCAATAATTAAAGGGAAAGCGTGGACAAAGAAAATTTGATCAATCTACATAAAGACAAGAAAGCAGAATGAGAACAAAAAGTGTAGCAAATAGCAAACAAAAGAGATGACAGTAAAAGGACTATATTAGGGAGCATATCAGTTATCACAGTAAATAAGATTGAGTGAAAACCTCACATTAAATAATTGAGATCATCTAAATGGGTTAAAAACAATCACACAAGCTAAACAAACAAGTGTGTGCTGTTTGTAATAGGGATACCAAATAAAAGCAATTGAAAATAATTTTGACATAGATATCCATGTAAAAATTATTACATGGAAATTATAACAAAAAGAAAACTAAATATTAACTTAATATGAATGGAGTATGAAGCAGAAAGGATCAAATTGTACAGAGAATATTTTATACTGATTATCAATAACATCCACCAAAAATGTATAATAGCTATGAGTTTGTGTACACTAAAGTTAAGAGCATTGGAATAAAAAAAAAAGTTGGAATTACAAGAAGAAATAGATTAAAACAGAGTTAGAAGAGAGACTTCTTTTAGAAATCTTGATTGAGAGAACTTACTTGCCTCACTCTGAACTCATGTAAGTTTCTTTTACCAATTTCATTTAATTCTCACTTACCCTTATTTTAACATTTTTTTCTGCAGCTCTTTACCTGAATTTTCCCTAAATGCTTTAACAAAATAGACATTTTATGACCTTTGCTTGGGTGCTTTCCAAGATGCCACAGTCAAAAGGACTGTATTAGTTTTGTGGTTTCAGAGTAAGCAAGTGGGGTTATCTTGATAAAGTGTTAATGGGAGAATTATCTGTATATCATTACTCTGAAGGGGATGCTCTTTTCTCTCATGAGTACATCGTCTAGTCCTTGAGTGTGACTCTGGCCATTGTTGATTTCATGGACATTCATGGTTCCATGTATCCTTAATGACCATCTCATAATCATTGTACACCAAGACACGCAGCTCAGCATTTCTAAGTTCCAGCTGCCAGTAGCTGTTTACCTTTAAGCAAGTCACTTAACTTCTCTGCATCTCAGAGAACTTGCCTTTAAGAAAATGGGTCTTTGGCTCAGGGTCCATAGCTCAGTAGTTACAGCGCTGGCCACATACACTGGGGCTGGTGGGTTCAAACCTGGCCCGGGCCTGCTAAACAACAATGACAACAACAACAAAAATAGCTGAGCATTGTGACAGGCACCTGTAGTCCCAGTTACTTGGGAGGCTGAGGCAAGAAAATCGCCTAAGCCCAACAGTTTGAGGTTGCTGTGAGCTGTGAGCCTCAGCACTCTTCTGAGGGTAACATAATGAGACTCTGTCTCAAAAAAAAAAAAAAAAGGCAAAGAAAAGAAAAAGAAAAAGAATTGAAAGAATTGGGTCTAGAATTAACAGTCTTTGAGGTCCTTCTCTAAAAGGACCTCTATTGTTGCTATAAACTGGATGCCACATGTATTGCAAAATTGGCTTTTGTGTTGCATGATTTTTACTTATGCTTTTATCTTTTTTCCCTAAAATCTGGTATTGATAGAAACATTTCTGGAATATTAAAACTTCACGTTCCATCCTCTTACACTTGTCAGAGCTTTAGAAGAAAAGAATAACAAAATGTTTGAGTGAGGTGTAATTGGTGTAGGTGATCGAGAGGACAGATAGAACCTTTAGTTCCTCGGGTTTATACTCCCTGTCTTTTGCTATTGGCAATTGTAAGTCCATGGTTGATGCTGAGCAGAATGTCTCTTGGGTGACCGTCTCGGTTCTTGTTTCTTATAAATGTGGCTTCTTCCTCATTTAGCTGCCTTACAGGCACTGAAGAGAAAGAAAAGGTTTGAGAAGCAACTCACTCAGATTGATGGCACACTTTCCACCATTGAGTTCCAGAGAGAAGCCCTAGAAAACTCACACACCAACACCGAGGTGCTAAAGAACATGGGCTTTGCAGCAAAGGCGATGAGAGCAGCTCATGAAAACATGTAAGTGACCTGGGTCTCCCTCTGAGTTATAAGCTCTCTCAGTGTTGGGAAGAGCCTTTGGAACTATCTGATGATTGTGGCAAAAATGGGCTTACTCTTTCAAGTTCTTTGATATTGAATGAATGTTCTCTCAGAGAAAGATTAGAAACATTCTAAAAATAAGACCATTTATAAAGGAAGATGTACTTTTACTGCTTCCCGGCTCCTTCACAATTGCCAAAACTCTATCTGTAAATAACTTAATTCTGTAATTTTAAAAAGACTTTGGTGTCAACATCTGCAACCATGAAATAGTAGTTGTCAAATATGGAACCTGGTTAGAATCACTTAGAGAGTTAATAAAGAGACTGCAGATTCCCAGATGCCTTGAACTAGGCTGGGCTTTAGGAGGTTTTTTTTGTTTGTTGGTGACTGAGTTCTCCATGATTCGGATGCTAACCAATGTTTGAGAACCACTGACATAGAATAATACTTATTAACATTTGTTTGGGGTCACATATTCAGGATTATAATCCGAGTGCTACTGCAGACTATTCCTTGAGCAAATTACTTTCCTCTCCCTGATTCTCTGTCTTTATATGTAAATAAGGAAGTAGCTCAAGAAAGTAAATACTCACATATTTATTTATGCTAAATATGTTAAGTAAAAAAGATACCTCCTATAGGTACTGTGAGATTCAGTGAGATACTAGATACATTTGGCATAGTTCCTGGCACACAGAAAATACTCAATAATTGATATTAGTGGTAGCAGAGCTGGTGGCAATTTGTTTTACATTCACATTGAGAAATGAATGGCTGGGGCTTACTCTTTCTTGATACTGGACATAATAGTGGGACCTGGGCCAAGGAAGCAAGAGGTAATGAGTGCCTAAGGGGTATAGATGCATTTCCATAGGATGGGAAAATATAGAAAAGGTAGAGGCTGGGTTAGCAAGCCAACCTTTCTAACATTTTCTAGTTTTGATAATTCATTAACAATCAGCCACCACTTTGACAGCTTCAGAGAGATCAGTAGATGTATTATCAGAGTGGAAATCCTCTCCTGTTACTATAAACTGGGTACCAAATGGATTGCAAACTCTCCAAGTAGCTTAGTAGCATCATACCTATGTGTTTCTTTTGAGAAAAATTCACTCCCAGGACTAAACTTTAGCCATTCTTTTCTCATATTCCTTTTTATAAATGCATTCATTGAATGTGGCCATTATAAAAGTTTTGAGATACACAAATAACAAGAAATATAAAACCCATGCGATTCACAAACAAATGAAGCCCTCCCAGCAACACCAATAATCTGAGGAAGTTGAAACTTGCACAGGTGAATCAGAAAGGACACGGCTGGTTGTGTTTCTTGCAAGTGAAATTATGGACCATAGCACAACCTGTCTCAAAACTTTTGTAGTGACCTACATATATTTGTTATAAATGGAATAATAAAGATTAGAGATAAAGGGTAATAGGAGGGTGGTGAAAGTATTCTTTTCAATTACTACTTGAAAATATATCAAAAATACTCACCTTTTACAGTATACACAGTCAGAGAAACTCAGAAAAGATTAATCCCACTGGGAATCAAACTTTTAGTATATAGGTTACTCATAATGAGAGACATCGTTGCTTCTCTTATATGTGATTAGACTGGCCTAGTTTAGAGCTGGGGAATGATTCAGAGACAGGGTACTACAGAGGTAGTTCAGAACCTGGCAACTAGATGCTGACAGCGTGGCCAGGTGATTGGGGACTGGGGGAGCTCAGGTGCTGGAAACTGTCCTGAAGCGGCCGTCCATTCCAGCTTCAGGCTGCCTGGGTTCCTTTACTACACTTGCTCTTTCTTCTTGGGGTTTCATAGGCTCAATCCCGCTCTCTTTAATAATCTCCCAGGGTAGGGCGGTGCCTGCAGCTCAAGGAGTAGGGCGCTGGCCCCATATACCAGGGGTGGCGGGTTCAAGCCCAGCCCCAGCCAAAACTGCAAATAATAATCATCTCCCAGGGTATCACCACTATGGGAAAGCCTTTCAGGAGTCAGGATCCCAGAGCTACTAGGTATTATGGAAAATAGATCTCTCATCTCAGAGTTTAGCTTTTCCATAGGGCTGGGGTCAAATGGTGGATGAGAGCTGCATAGAGTCATGGTGGTCCGTGGTGGTCCTGGGCTCCCTTTCCTGCAGAGCTGATGCACAGCAGCATACATTTAAATGTTCCATGTATCATACCAGACAAAACTTCAAAATAGGTCTGCAAATGTTGATAGCATTGGGGTGCTGGACCCAGAAGCAAGAGCTAAACACTCATGTGGGTTAAGACTGTCTTTTATTACCAAGATTCAGACTCCCAGGAAGACAGGGAGATTATCCCAAAGCCTGCCTTACTTTGAGAGAACTTCACAGTTTTTATGCCCTCCCCCCAAGTTGCTATCTTTAGCTAAACATCATTCCACCCTCTACTCTCCAGCTGCCGGACTCTTTGTCACATTTATAATCTGTATGTGTCCCATCTGCTGTTTTTTCTTTAGTTCAGGGTCTCGGTGGTCTTCATGGGGACCAGGGAAGCACTGGTTGACATTACTGTTTGATAACTACTTATACCATTAAGTGACTATTACAGCTAAAGGGGGGCGAGTGAGTTGAGGCTGTTTCTCCTCTTCAATTTGATTCCTAGTGAGTTTGAAATGTAATAGTGATTTAATTTTAAAATATACGTGCATCCAGAGGATTATGTTTTTTGAAGTGCAAATTATTTTTAAAGTTGAGAAATATTCTCATCAGGAATTTTTATTCTCCTACTAAAAAAGCTAAGGATTTATGTTAAATTGATTTATTTTTCATATGGGATTATAGCTAAATTCCATAATTGTAAGTTAAAATTCTATAGTACTTTAAACCAAATATTATTTCTCAGGGATCTGAACAAAATAGATGACCTGATGCAAGAGATCACAGAGCAACAGGATATCGCCCAAGAAATCTCAGAAGCATTTTCTCAACGGGTTGGACTTGGTGATGACTTTGATGAGGTAGGTAGGGATATAAAAAATGCAGGGTTGTGAGTGCTCTCAAGGGTGGGTGCCTTTCATATTGTAGGTAGTTTTCTTTACTTAAAGAATAAGTGATATTTGTTAGATACTTCTTTTAAGGAGAAAAATGAAGTACTTACTAGCTCTGATTGGCAAACAACCTCCTAATTATGTTTTCAGCTATTAAGAGAAAAACAGCTTCTGATTTATGTAAAGATTGTGACTTTTTAATGGTTGAAGCCTGAGTAGCCTCACTAAGAGGAATTAAGTGTCCACACATCTGGGCAAAACAAAGCAAGCTCTGTCACTCTGCAAGGCACACACCTATCATTCTTTGCAGCTGTTAAATTAGAGGTTAGGCTGCCTCTGTCTATTACACAGGCTCTGCACCAAAATAAAAATGGAGTGCATTGTTAGCACACACATTCCATTTAGATTAATCAGTCTAATAATACAGACTATAATTACAATGGTGGTGTCCGCACTTGACTTTCAACTCAAAGCTCATACATGCACTACTTGAACATATCTAGAAACAGTCTGAATCTTAGACTGGCATGGCAAAGGATCCAACTTCCTGCATTTAGGTGATGTTAAAATTGCTAAATCTAACAAGGAAGATATGGTTTCTTGAAATTCTAAAAAGTGAGATTGGGATATTAACACTCTTTAAAAATGGTATATACCAGGGGCCTGTACAATATGGCTTGCAGGCCAAATCCTTTCCGTGGCCTGTTTTTGTTTAGCCTGTGAGCCAAAGATGCTTTTCGCAATGTGGAAGTGTTGTAGAGAACAAGAACAAGGAAGAATCTGTGACAGAGGAAGACAGGTGACCTGCAAAGCCTGCAATATTACTCTTTGGCCCTTTGCAGGAAAAGTTTGCCAAGCCTTAGCATATACTAACAAGCATCTAAGGAGTGCATTGTGGTGTGGTGGAAAAGGCTCTGGGCTTATGCAGAAATACGGGTTCTGCCATTTTCTGTAAATCTCTTTCTTCTTCTGACTCTTAGTTTTCCAGTCTATAAAATAAAGATTATTGCATCACTGGATTATTTCTAAAACATATTACATTCTAAATTTTTTTTTTATTGAATGGTAACTATGTACATTAATGTACTTCTGGGGTACAGTGTGGGGTTTTCACATGCAATCCGAAATACTTCCATCAAACTGGTCAACACAGCCTTCATGTCATTTTCTCAGTTATTGTTTTAAAATGTTCACATTCTACTCTTAGAAAGATTCACTTGTACCCCTATTAAAATTTTTTTTTTAATGATCAAATAAGTGTTTAGTACCTAAAGGCTGAAAATGATGGTGGGGATGATTACTGTCCAAAGAAAACATCAATATCTTTCTGGTGCTATGGATACGTATCAAGCATTATTGGCAATTCTGGCTTGTTCAGCCATTACTGTATTTGTTCCTGATTGTTTTGTGAGCAGAAATAGGACATTGGACTACTCATTCCAATGCCATTTAATTCTTGTAGCCTATGGAGAGGCATAAAGCACAAACCTTCACTGACCATGCTGTTTCTAAGGCCCCGTGCTGTATGCCTTCATGTCTTATTTCCTTTGCATGAGGTAGATTTAACAGAGGTCAGTCTTTCAGCTGTATGTCTGATACTCACTGCCTCCATCAAATGTTGTGGTTGTCTTATCTTAAATATCTCCTCTCTTGCCCCATAGTGTTATTATTCTCACCTTAATATAGGATGATTATTTGTTTATGTTCCTTTCTTCTACATTTGAGCATAAGCTCCTTGGATGGAGGAAGTGTTGATTCAACTTTGCATCCTCAGCAAAACCCATCCAGGACTCAGCTCTCACTAAATTGGTTGAATGATGGTGATAAATAATAGTGTAGAAATAAATGAAAAATCTACTTGGTTGAATATAGGGGTATCCCAGGTTATTTCTAATAGTGACGACCTCAGATTTCCCTTGATCATAAATTTAGTTTTATTCTCAACCTCTCTCTCAGAGGGGCTGGACTCCACCTGAGAGCGTATGGAACCAGTGAGATCAGAACTATCTCAGGTCATCTCAGACCTGGCATAAGTTCACTTCCACCCTGAAAGTCTCAAACAAATTTTGCCTCTCTAAGGTTTTGGGGAGAGAGAGTAGTCTAAGATTAAACTAGACTGCCTTGGATTATTTCTAAAAGAAAAAAGTATGGTATACCCATCTTGAAATGAAGTTTTCTTAACCTAAATGCATGACTTACGTTGGCTTTGGCGATTTGATAAAAGAATATTAGTATCTTTGATTCTTTTTACTTCCTCTGCATTATGGTTTTGTTATACCTGTTGTTTTATTTTCAAAAGCCTTAGCCCAAAGAAAAATATTTATTTTCTCCAATTAAAGTTTCATAGATTCTAAATAGAAGAAAAGAAAAAGAACACATTGGGAAAATGACAGGCAAGGTATAAATTTCCCAGAAACTGTTGGAGAGGTTATATATTCAGCTAGCACAAATTCCTTGAATGGCTGTTTACTGAACTATTATAAGATTAACTATAACAAATTTTCACAACCCCAAATATTCATTTTTTTAATCATTGCTCAGTGTTGCAAAAAAGTCTTAGTTACAAAATAAACATTCCATTTCACTGGGTTCTCACATATCACTTGGGTGGCAGATGTTCTTGTTATTGTGTTTGAGGAAACCCACGTTGTGAAACGCTAACTCCATAATTCTTTCTTTCTCTTATGTTCAGGATGAGTTGATGGCAGAACTTGAAGAATTGGAACAGGAGGAATTAAATAAGAAGATGACAAATATTCGGCTTCCAAATGTGCCTTCTTCATCTCTCCCAGCACAGCCGGAGAGGAGGCCAAGCAGGCCCTCTCCTGCACACCGATCCCGAGCAGGTGTGTTACCCAACTCAACTACCCATGATTGGATAGTTGCCTAAAAGAATAGCCAGACCCATCCCCTTTTTTTTTTTTTTTTGAGACAGTCTCACCTTGTAACCCTCCATAGAGTGCTATAGCATCATAGCTCACAGCAACCTTGAACTCTTGGACTTAAGAGATTCTCTTGCCTCAGCCTCCAAGTAGCTGGGACTATAGGTGCCCACCACAATGCCCGGCTATTTTAGAGAAGAGGTCTCACTCTGACTCAGGCTGGTCTCTAGCCCATGAGCTCAGGCAATCCACATGCCTCGGCCTCCCAAGTTGTGGGATTACAGATGTGAGCCATCGCACCTGGCCTCCCTTTTAGCACAGATTTTTGATTTCATAAATAAACACATTTTTTATTTGTAAACTCATACCTGTTTTCTATGCTGAAAGTGTGAATGCCACCAGCGACTAATTTTTATACTTTTTATGTTCCAGCATCTTCCAGGAGGGCAGAAGAAGAGGATGATGATTTCAAACAATTGGCAGCTTGGGCTACTTAAACTAAAATGGAGTTTTTTGGCACCTAAATTAATGAGTTATACATAAGACATAAAAAATGTTTTTTTGCCAAGTTCAGGAGTTAATGAAGACTCTGTTTTATATTTATATTTGATGAATAATTGTTTCTTAAGCCTCATAAGTAAAAGTTAAAAAAGGAGTTGTGGGTAGACATAGAATGTTGGAAAGGGCTTTTTTGCAGTGTCTCAGAGAATCCCTCCTTACTGCTGGGGCCGCGACATGTCGGTGTACCTTGTTCACTGCTATATTTCTAGTCTTGGTACATAGTTGATGATCTCTATATACATGTTGAAAGAAAACGGAATTCTAGTGGCATATAAGACATAGAACAGTTTTTTTGTTTGGTTGTTTTTGTTTTTTTTTTTGAGACAGTCTCAACTTGTTGCCCTGGGTAGAGCACCATGACATCATATCTCTCAGCAACCTCCAACTCGGCCTTGAGCGATCCTCTTGCCTCAGTTTTTCTATTTTTAGTAGAGATGGGGGGGTCTCACTTTTTTGCTCAGGCTGGTCTCAAACTCGTGACCTCAAGTAATCCACCCGCCTTGGCCTCCCAGAGTGCTAGGATTACAGGTGTGAGCCACCACGCCCAGCCCCACAGAACAGTTTTTTAAGAGCTATTTCAGAGTGATATACGTAGGATAGCTGGGGAAAATAACATTCTTTCCTCTGTGAATACAAGTTTGCTGTGTGTATGCAAGCAGCCCATGGTAAATGTAAATACACTGGGCTTCTTTTAGGAGAGACTTCTTGTCTGAGTCTATGCATAAATAGTTTCACTTGAGTTTTGCAGTTTAAAACCTTAAAGGAGCTTTAATTGACATTTATTATACCAATTAAGCTTGGAATGGGGCAATGGATGCATTTACTAAAATGTCTGAAAGAATTAACAGCTTACACTGCTGAGTGGGAATCTCCTGAGTGTCATTTAGCCACTTAGGGAACTGCATTAACAGTCCCAGGCCATTATGATGCTGTTATGGCTTCAGCGTACTGAATGTGTGAGTGTTCTTTCTTTTCTGTTTTGTGCTCTCCTGTACATTTATTTACACTTTACAGCATATTCCTTGTAAATACATAAAAATATTGGCAATTAAAAGTATATCTTGAATAAAATTTTGGCCATAATTGTTTGTAAATGAAAATAAATTCTAAAATTACACGTTGCCCATAATGTACCACAGACCATAAAATGGTAAATATTATATATAAAAGGTTATATATTATAGATATTCTCCACATTCATTTGTGGACACAACGGGATGGGAATAGTGCTAGACCTAAAGGTAGGAGTCCTGGGTTTCAGTCCCTGCTCTGCAGGAGGCCCATGTCATGGGCTTTCTGAACCTTTGTTTCTCCGCTAGAAACCAAACGGTTAAATGTGATCTCTAATAATTTCAATCCCACCAGGAGCCTTTTTTGCATATGCTGTTTTTTGGGGCAGTCTTCCTACCCTGCACAACACAGAGACAAAATCTTACTTATTTCTTAAATCTTAGATAAAATGTCCCCTGTTTGGGGGAACTTTTCTTGATCACTCAGGCTAAATCAAGTCTGCCCATTACATGGTCTCACAATGCTTTGCTTTTTTTTCGTGTCACTCATCGTGGTTTATATTACATATTTACTGAAATGATTCCTTTGTTCTTCCCTGCTGGGCTGTGGTGGCCATGAGGGCAGGAACCGAATTATCTTTTGGTTCACTAGTCAATGCCCAGCGCTCTACAGTTTCCCATGTATAGCAGGCATTCGGTCAGTACGTATTAAATGCATGGCAACTGTTTATGTCATTTGAGTCTTGAAAGAATAATGGGACCTGGCTTTACTTTTTACCTTTAAACAATTAAAAAACTGGACAAAATATAGGGAACAGTTTTCAGACACCAGACAGCAGGTGGCACTGGATGAAGATTCCTGAGAGCAGGGAAACTGCCATGTGAACGCTGCCAACGTCCCATCCCACAGGGAAGGGGGCCCAAGCAGGGCCTGGTGGTCTTGTTAGGTTGAGAAAAAGTATACAAGAGTCCTAGAAATGAAGTTGCTACAGGGAGAGAGAGGAGAGAGAGAGAGCCGGAGAGAGAGGAGTGGAAGGACAGGACCCAAGCAGGAGGGCACTATGGTCCAAATGTTTGTGTCCCCCATCCCCAAATTTGCATGTGGAAGTCCTAAAGTGGGGTATTAGGAGAGGCGCCTTTGGGGAGATGAGTAGGTCATGAAGGTGGAGCCCTCACGAATGGATTGTCTTTAGGAAACATCCCAGGGGAGCTTGTTCATAACCTTCCACCAAGTGAGGATGTGCCATTCAGGGGCCGGAGACTGAGCCCTCACCAGACACCTTAATCTTGGACTTCCCAGCCTCTGGAACTGTGTGAAATGATTTTTGTTGTTTATAAGGTACCCAGTCTATCGTGTTTTGTTTTGGCAGTCCCAATAGAGAGAGGGGTGGGGAGAGAGATGAGGGAGAAGGGGATAGAGAGAATGAAGAAGACTAGGGATTAGCAGAGGGGTTCCTTCAAGTCTTTGGCTGAGACCTGATCTACATACATGTATAAGAAAATTACTGATGCCAAGAAGAACTGCTGGAAAGATAGGCAGATCAATCACCAGAGATCACACAGGGCCGGGAATAACTTGTGTTCTTACTAGCCAGAGTGGGAAGACCTTCTCATACAGATCATCAGGTTGAGTCCTCAGAAAGATACTGCCTCCATAGTGGGACTAAAGGCTGGGGAGAGCCACCATAAAAAGCTTAAAAGCAAACATTAAAAGGATCAAATGATTCCAAGTGACCAAACTATAGCCCAAACGAAGCTGCCAGATATTATAAAAAATATAAAAACTAACAAATAGCAATAGCAAAACAACTAAAAACCCTGGTACCCAATAGCTTAAAATTCACAAATTCCAGCACTTAGTTAAAAAGTTTCAAAGTAAAAACGAAACAAAACAAAACTTATCAGGCATGCAGAGAAGCAGGATAATACAGCCTCCAACCAGGATAAAAATTAAAATCCTTAGAAATAACATAGATAATAAAAGGCAAGAATATCAAAACAACTCTTTGGCGGTGCCTGTGGCTCAGTGAGTAGGGTGCTGGCCCCATATACTGAGGGTCGTGGGTTCAAACCCGGCCCTGGCCAAACAGCAACAAGAAAATAGCCGGGGGTTGTGGCAGGCAACTGTAGTCCCAGCTACTCGGGAGGTTGAGGTAAGAGAATTGCCTAAGCTCAAGAGCTGGAGGTTGCTGTGAGCTGTGACATCATGGTACTCTACTGAGGGCAACAAAGTGAGACTCTGTCTCTAAAACACAAAAACTCTTACAAGTACACTTCACATGTTCGTTAAGATAACTGTAATAAATAGACTTTATATATTTAAGAAAGGAGAGGAAAGCATGAGCATGATGTGGAGAAAAAAATGGAAGGTAAAATAAAAAGATCCAATTGAAATTCTGTAGGTGGAAATTACATTTTCTGAAATGAAAAATACAGAACACAATGGATGTCATTAATTATTAGACACTCCGGAAGATGAACAAACTTGAAGACATAGCAACAGAAATTGTCTGAAATAAAACATACAGAGAAAAATAAAGACTGGAAAAAAAAAGAGAGAGAGAGAAAGAGAGAGGCAGAGCAGGAGTGAGCCATGAGACCATATTAAGCAGCCTAATGTGTAAGTAATTGGAGTTCTGGAATCAGGGTGGTGGGCCGGGTGAGTGGTTAGGAGTGATTTGGGGGAGGGAACAGGATGGGAAAAAAAAAAAAACTCTGAAGGCATAACGGCCAAACAAATATAAACCCAAGTTAATGAAACTCAACATACCTGAAGCAGAAATCCTGTATCTTATAAAAACAAAAGTTATTGTGGAATGTTAAAATGTCAGAATCCCATGATAGCAGGCCTAGAGATGTTTAAACACGCCTAGCCACTTGAGCGAGACTGCTGAGGTCTAACAAGCATTTACTAGCTATACAGCTAATATAATTGAGGAAATAAATGTTTATTTACTTTTTGTTAATTTTAAATTAAAAAACTGATGATCAATTCATTTATTAGAAAAGTTTAAGTACATCTGAACAACTTCAATATGTGGATCTACTTTTCTAACTGTAAATTCATGAAATCTATAAACAGATCAAGTATTATGAATGGAAATTTGCATTTGATTTGAAATGCTCTCAAAGTGTAAAATACACATTGGACTTACAAGAGTTGTTTAAAAAATATAAAATAAATAATTTTATATTGGTCACATATTGAAATATTTTAAATATATTGGGTTAAATAAAATATGAATATATTATTAAAATGTATTTCACATGTTTCTTTTTACTTTTTAAGAATGTGGCTACTGGGATATTTAAAATTACGTATGTAACTCACATTATTTTTGTTCGTTTATTTGAGACAGGATCTTTTCTGTCTGCTGAGCTAGAGTGTAGTGGAATCATCATAGCTCACTGTAACCCCAAATATCTGGGCCTAAGCAATCCTCCTGCCTCAGCCTCCCAAACAGCTGAGACTATAGGTATGTGCCACTGTATATGGCTAATTTTAAAAAATTTTTTGTAGTGATAGAGTCTTAATCTGTTGCTCAGGCTGATTTCCAATTCCTGGTATCAACTGATCCTCCCTCCTGACTTGGCCTCTCGAAGTGCTGGGATACACAGGCCACTATGCCCGGCTTACATTATATTTCTATCCATTAGTCCTGAGCAAGCCCAATTCCTTACTACCAATGTGGGTACAGATAATACATAATATGAAGTACTAAAATCCTAACGTGTTAAAAATAAAAGAAATTTTTACAAAAGATGACATTTTACTTTGAAAAAAAGAAACCACTTTGAAAGTAATCCTACTGCTGCCCCTCCCTCCACTAACAATAAGGAAGGAGCAAAACAAACGAGAGAACAGCTGGAAAAGTAGCTCATCCTTTGATTGAAAGGTACTAAGAAGAATAAAAGTGTCAATCCAACACCAACAGGGTTTACAGTGAAGCATCATTAAGATGCGAAAACTCTTGGTTGGAAGTTACAAAGTTGGGATGCTTGCTAAAAGTTGGTCCTCCTATTTTACAGAGGGATTTCCATGGTGGGCCTGTTTGGCCAGTGCTGGACAGCTGGTCTTTTTAAATGAAGCATTTTTTAATATATCAGGTATTTTTGTTTTGTTTTTTACTTTTGGTTGTAAGAAATACATTCAATATTTCTTAATAGAAAAATATGAGTTTATTGGAAATTATTTGGGTAGTTCCAATGTTGAAGGAAAGACTTGAAATGCAAATAAATATGAGGAAGATCCAACAGCAGGGAGGCTTTGGAGCTTGGGATAAC